ACCAGAAGTTTTATTAATTAAATTTAAAGTTTATCGAGTAGCTTGTATGAGATTTCTTACCTCGTAAAACAGAGAACAGGGGCGAAGAACCACTCGGGTTGAACGTACAGTTTTATATTGTAAATTTTATCCCTAACAATAAATGTGAAAAAACCATAATACGGATTAACTATATACACGAGAACATTTGCCGATTTTACGTTAAACACAATTTAGCTATTTCTATAAAATTTATGTGTCCGGACTTAAAACGCCGGTTCTGTCTCTCACACGAGGTTCGCGCTCGGGCTTCGCGACAATAGCGGTTTGTGGAAAAAATCCAACCAGTGTTCCTTCACCGTTTTTGACATTGAGTCTACTGTTGTTGTCACCTGTTCACTGTAGTCCGTTCGGTAGACGATCACGGTACCCAATCGTCCGGTGTTTTGCATTCAGGAGAGAAAATGAAAAAGTATAAAAATAATGTATTAGAAAAGTCAGGAATTTTCTCACAGCCGTCGAGTGACTGCGGTCGACGGTTGGACAATAACTATAATAGTCTTATCTTCGTATAATTACAAGTTTCACTAGGAAACGAACGTAATCTATAGCGGTTCAAGACAGGAACGGAACTTTCATCGTAATGTACGATGTAGATTCGTTATTAAGGACTCCCAATTTCGAGTTAATCCGTAAACTAAAAGTTGGGGACAATTGATATTAATCTCATTGGTCCCCATTAAGGAAGGTAACCTTTTATATGTAGAACTACGATCGACCCGTTTAGTGAAAAAAAACTACTCAAATAAATGTAGACTAAAAAGGATTTATCGTATGGTTTGTTTATAGTTTTATGTTGTCCCGCTAAGTAAAAGTTTTACAACCACAGATTTTAACAGAGGTTAAGGGGACCTTACTGGGAAGACGGGACGACGCCTGTCTTTTCGGTTTTGTTGAGTTCTACAACTTGATATACATTTTGTCTCAAGACAAGTATGTTTAACACAACAAGTGCATGTTTTAGCATTTTGGGCATGGATTATTAGATTTGTTATATGGGGGACATGAAATGTCCTCCAATTCTGGAAAGACCCAGAAAGCATTTTCGAATGTTTGAATGAATCAAAGTGGGTCGTCACCGTCGATTTTCTCTTATGCTCCAACACACAGTTGCACGGGGTGCAGAATAGTTTCCCCCCACTTTTTGCCCGGTCTTTAGTAGAAATGTTCGTCGGTAAATGAGATGGATTAGATATTTTCATCTTGGTGTTTTCTCTATCGTGTGAGCTCCACACGTTCACTCTATACAGTGTTGTTTACATTCTGTGATGCGCGAGTTGATGACCTCACGTCAAGACGAGTCAACTTTTTTTTCTTCTCAACTTTGTGTGGAAAAATGCGGGGATTATGCGGCCTTTTGATAAATATGCGGCCTTTTAGAAATCTGCACCATTTTGCTGATTATGCGGTAAATTCTGCGATCGCAGAATCGCGTTTTTCTGGAGGGTCTATTTAAAGTAACCTAGACATGAAATGTGAAATATAAACAGTCTGCAGCATTGTGATGTGTTCGTTGTCAGTATTCGCTTCATCAGTAGATTTTGGCAGCGCAGTGTGCAGAGAAGCTAATCCCATCGAGCAAATGAATATATTATAGATCAACGTGTTTACAGCAAATCCACTCTCTGACCTGACCGTTCTCACACCATCTGTTTCCCTATATGACATTGCCCCCAGTGCATTTAGAAGTGTGTGTTTTGTGTGAAAGTGTGGTGTGTTGTCCCTCTGCTCGCAGAGTCCCCGCTCACTCCAACTGCTAATAACTCAAATCAGCAGAAAGTCACACTCCGGGGCGTGTGTGTGTGTGTGGGAGTAAGTGTGTGTGTACAATTTCCCTGCAACTAGTGGATAAATGCTCATAACACTGAATCCAACTCATTTAGGTTAAGTATTTAATGATTTTGGGTGCAATTACACAGCTGAAACCGCATCTGCGTCCACTGTGCACACACACTTCCATGCACTCACTATTGTTGTTATTCGGCCTCTCAGCCTCATCACAGAACTGATTGGACTAATGAATGGAGCTCGGTGGACGATAATGTGTCTGAATAGGCCACTTGAATGATTAGCCATCTGACAGGGCAGGGACGTATGGAAAGGAGGAGTGGCAGTTTTATTAGCGTTCACATCACAGATGATGATCCTGTTGGAAGCAATTAAAGTCAGTCAAATGTGAGTCTTGCTGGTGAATATATTTCAACCTGGAAAGTCCGGATTAAACGCACCGCTAGAAAGTTGTAAAAAAATGTCCTTTTATGTGAATTGTTTTGTCAGTTATGCAGTCTATTTTGCATTGAGTGTTAATTAGAAAAAAGTCTCCATCATTATTCTATCAGGTTAAGGCCCAGATACACCGGCCAGTCACCTGAGAAGTCGCCGACACCGACACCGACTGTTGCGTCGCCGGACTCTCCTGCGCACTGGAACACACCGCAAATCCGAGCCGAGCACGTATGAACTGCGTATGCGTGAGTGGCAATAGCTCTCCTTACCAGCAAGCGGCGGTAGTGTGTATTCATCATTCAAAAGAGGCAACAACCGGAACAACCGGAAGACAGAGAAGAAGAACAGACTCCGTGATATAAACAAACAACAAATAGCGTTTTTCTTTCCATTTTCACTCTCGTCCATTGAAAACATGAACGAACAGGAGCTCTATAAACCGATGAAGTGAAATAGCCGTCCGTGTGTGTTGCATCTTCCATTTTAAATCATTTGTTTACCTCCCTCACTTCCGTTAACACTTCTCATGCACTGATTCGCTAGCTGAACAGCCAATCAGTGTTATCCCTTTGTCCGACTTCCGGTGGTGTTCCCGACGCCGATTCAATCGGCAAGAAAAGGCGTCAGGTCGGCAGAAAAGACCCGACGGTGCGGCGCAAACCACTCCGAATAGGGCGTGCCGCGAAATACTACACCTACAGTACAGAGCCTATGAATAGTACTTTCCGATAAGAAATATAAATCAAAACAGTACAGGGGAGACAGAATGTCATTATTCATAAGGAGCGCTTCTCCACAAAAGGGGGCCAGATTAAACTTACCTTCTGACTGTACTCGTTCTCACCACGTACACTCCTCCTCCGGCACGACCTCGACGAATCGAGGCTAGGAAGCCCCCACACACTCCCCGATTTAGCTCCACAAAAGTGGGCCAGATAAACTACCTTCTGAACTGTACTCGTCTCACACCGTACACTCCCTGCGGCACGACCTCGACGACCTCGCGGAAGCCCCACACACTCCCCGATGTTAGCTCCACAAAAGGGGCCAGATTAAACTACCTTCTGACTTGTCACTCGTCTCACCACGTACACTCCCTCGGCGACGCCCTCGACGGATCAGGCAGGAAGCCACACACTCCCCGATTTAGGCTCCACAAAAGGGGCCAGATAAACTACCCTTCTGACTGTACTCGGTCTGCGACAACGGTAGCACCTCCCTCGGCACGACCTCGACGATCAGGGCAGAAAGCCCTCCACACACTCCCCGATTTGGCTCCGACAAAAGGGGCCAGAAAACTACCTTCGTGACTGTAGTGGTCTCACACGTACATCCCTCTGGCTCGCACCTCGACGACATCGAGCGAGCCGCGCGACACACTCCCGATGAGGCTCCACAAAAGGGGCCCAGATAAAACTAACCTTGCTGAGCGTTACTCGGTCTCACAGATAGCATCCTCGGCACGACCCTCGAACGATGATCAGGCAGAAGCCGCCACACCTCCCCCCTCGATTTAGCTCCAAAAGGGGCCAGCATAGCAGACTACCTTCTGACTGTACTCGGTCTCAACGGTACCGTGCCCTTCGGCACGACGCTCGAACCGACCTCGACGAAGCCCCCACACACTCCGATTTAGCTCCACCCAAAGGGGCCAGGAGTGTACAACGTGCTTCCTGACTGTAGATCGTTCACGCACGGTAACTCCCTCGCACGACCTGACGATAGGAGAAGCCCCCACACACTCCCCATGTAGCTCCACAGAAAGGGGGCCAGATAAACTACCCTTCGGTGACTGTACCTCGCGTCACCACATCACTCCTCGGCACGACTCGAGACCTCGAGCGAAGCCCCCCACACACTTCGCCGATGTTAGCCTCCACGGAAAGGGGCCAGATAAACTACCTTCTGACTGTACTCGTCTCACCAGCGTGACACTCCCTCGGACGACCTCGACGAATCGATGGCGAGGAGCCGCCCACACACTCCCCGCGATTAGGCTCCCACAAAAGGGGCCAGATAAACTACCTTCTGACTGTACTCGTTCTCACACGTAGGGGCCTCGGCACGAGCGCCTCGACGACCTCGACGAAGCCCCCACACACTCCCTGATTTAGCTCCACGAAAAGGCCAGGATAAACTGACCTTCTGACCTGTACTCGGTCTCACACGTACACTCCCTCGGCTACGACCTCGACGAAACAGGCAGGATGCCTCCCACACACTCCCCGATTTAGCTCCGAGAGGGGCCAGGTAAACTCCTTCTGACTGTACTCGTCTCACCACGTACACTCCCTCGGCACGACCTCGACGAATTCAGGCAGGAACGCCCCACACACTCCCCGATGTAGCTCCACAAAAGGGGCCAGATAAACTACCTTCTGACTGTGGCGGATGGGGAGTTCGTAGAGCAAAGTCTTGAGGGAACGAGGCGGATACGACAAGGGACACAAGCACTAATTCAAAGGGCACCTAACAAAGGTGACGAGAGTGGCACCCATATATAACACAATCGGGGTGGGACAGGTTCACGGTCAAGCAAAGGTAAGTCCAGGTGGCAAGTTCGGGCGAGGTACCACGCATAGGGACAAAAGAGTTACTAGTACTAATAACGTAGTCAAAAAAAGCCTTCTCACTAAAAACACAAAAGAACAAAACATGACACAATTAGGTCATTTCAGAAATAAAAACTTGTGGTGGCTCAGACTCAACAGTAGAACTCAAGTACGGAGGACTCAAGTGCGGGACACCTGTCACCTGTTCTTTGGTGTGAAGGAGTTAAGAATAGTGTTGAATCAGCCCTAGATGATACCCTATCTTATATTTGGTTGTGGTATAGGGTAACCACGACGATCGACAATCTCATAGGACATACAGACCTAATAAGAGCGCGTAATATGTGAAACATCGAAACACACTCATTTTCTATGAAAGAACTTTCCGGGTGAAAAACCGTAAACATCGTCGTGTGGTCTGAGGGTTATACCTTTAACTTTACCCTGACGACTTTCGTGCTACCAAACCACCAAACGTCATTACGTCGCTTAGAGTTATTTCGCTAGTATTATATATTTATTCCCCCCCTATAGACTACCGTTTTCCTGTCTTTCTTGTTTTATAAGAATAGCTTTTCTCGAAAGGTGAATTTTCCTTTTCTTTCAATTTTGTCTTGATGTTCCTCCCTTTGTATAATAATTATTATTGTATCTCTTTTCCTGAGAATGTAGGTGTCTATATTGTTTATCTTCTTTTGAAAGCTTTATGTGTATCAATTAGTAATGACTGTCTTGTCTTATTTTTTTCGTTGCTGTTAGTAGACTCGGCCCGGGCCCATTTCATTGACCTACCGGGATGGACGGACAGTCGGAAGATAGACACGTTGGTGCAAATAGAGCACGGGAGTAGACCAGTACACGCGCAAGCAGCACACCAACCTCCTCCCCGAGACACTCCTTCATCGTCTAAAGAGGCCGACACATAAAAGGTTTAAGATCGCGTGGCGTCGACCAAGAGGTTTTAATGGATGGGTGGAAATTAGATGGTTATAAACTTTCTTGACGTTGGATAAATGTTCATACGTCCGGAGATATATATTTCAGTCACGTCCGTTGTAGGTTGTCCCACTAAGTAGTTAACGTATTTGTTCTTTTAGTCTAACAAGTCTCGTAGTTTATAAGAACTTAATTAACCGAAACCCAAAAAAAGTTTAAGTTGCCTAACAAAAGGGGGCAGATACTTATTATAACTGTTACAACCCTTTCAAGACAACTTAAGTGTGGATTCACATGACGCCCTCCGTTTAGTTGTCGAAAAGGTTACTTTTCTGTAAATTATAACACTCCTTTTTGTTGGTATCAGATGTCTTGTGTCTACTTGCGTGTGTGTGTGTGTTTCTTATTTTGGTCATTTCCATTTTTTTTGATAAGACCGTCTGGGAGTGGCTGTTTAACCAACCCGTGTGAGCGGTTTCCATTTCTCCAAGAAAACTCAATATAAAGTGAGAACGAGAGACACGCAGGTGTGTGTGTGTGGTGGTCGTGTGTGTGTGTTGTGTTTTGTTGGTGGTGTGTGTGTGTTGTGTTGTGTGTGTGTGTGTGTTGTGTGTGTGTGTGTGTGTGTGTGTGTGTGTGTGTGTGTGTCGTGTGTTGTGTGGTGTGTGTTGGTGTGTGTGTTGTGTGTGTGTGTTGTGGTTGTGTGTTTGGTGTGTGTGTTTGTGTGTTGTTGTGGGTGCTTATTTTGTGTGTCTGTTGTTGGTCCTCTCTACTCGTATCATATCTGTATGTGTGTTTTTTGTCTGTTGTCGATTCTCTTTTTATTCTCTCTCACAGTCTCTTTAGACTCCCGTCTCTTCTTTCTGTGATATATATTTTTTGTTTTGTAGTTTATATTTCTGCTTTCTTTTTTCTTATTGTTTTGTTGTTTTTTTTTTTTTTTTCTATTTTGTTTTTGTTTGTAATGTTTTTTTGTGTTTTTTTTTGTTTTTGTTTTGTTTCGTGTTTTTGTATTGGTTTTTGCTTTTCGCTTCTTTTTCTCTTTTTTTCTTTTTACTCTCCTCATCTCTTCTCTTGTGCACTGTCTTTTTTTTTTTGTTTTTTTTTTCCTCCTGTATTTGTGTTCTTCTGATGGCATTTAATAGTCTTTATTTTCCTTTTTGTTTTTTTTTTTTTTTGTGTTGTTGTGGTTATAGTTTGTTTGGCTCTTTTGTTTTTAATTTGTTTTTGCTCCTTGTGCCGTTGGTGAAATGTTTTTTTGTGTTGTGTTTTCTCCGTTTGTTGTTATGCGCTCTGCACCAATGTGAACCCGCTAGATCTTGTAGATACCTGTACTGTGTACGTGCCCTTGAGGGGGCCAGAGCGTCTTTCAGGGTATTGGAGAGGTAGCGAGTATTCACACGTATTTGTAAGGGTATATGTGTTGTGTTTGTGCCCGCCTTACGTGTTGTACAAGGGCGAGATAAGGGTGGGGTTTTCAGTCTCGGCCTCGGTTTATTTAGCGAAGAAAAGGGACACCGGCGGTGGTCTGGTCGACGGAGGGGAGGTTGGAGGGGAGGGGAGGAGGGAGGAGGTAGGAAAGGAGGTAGGGCCCTAGAATTGTCTCTTTGATGCCTCCTCACTAATTGAGTCTCGACGCTCCAGTGGACACCGAGAGAGGAGGAGGAGATCAGAGGTAGACGGGAGGGAGGTGTAATCTGAAAGTATAGCATGCAGTTGGGAGAAAGAGCGGCGGACAGCGGAACGAAAAACGGACACCTTGTTCTTAAACGTTTCACGCTTTTTCTTTTTGACACAAAGAAGTGTAAGATTAATTTAAGGGAATTTATGAGTAAAATAAATGTTCGGGAGAGACGACCACTGCGGATTTTCGACGAAAGAGGAACGGGTCGACAAGAGAATCTCCATTGTTTGACGAAAGGTACGGTCGAACGGACTATATTCGTAATGACTGTAAGTCATGGGCAAAACGGGTAACCTCTTCGACTGTAGTGGAGGTCGGATTTCCACAAAACCTCCTCCTTCTTTTCGACTAAAGGACGTGGGTAGTTGATATACACAAGGAACGTTGTGCGGGAATAATGCTATCCAATTAACTGAGACTGTAGTCTCGGGCTTCACCTCGTCACCCTAAACGAGCGACGCTATGTCAGACGTTCGGCTTGTTCTTGTTTGCGTCGACTGGTCGTGGGTAGGCAGTCTAATATCTTCCATCGGATGTCCCGACGCGCAAACCCCCCCCCCCCCCTCCCCTGGAAGTTGTGCTCCTTTGGCTGCACTCACACTCTCCCACAACTCATAATGACTGTCGCATGCCATTTCAGGGCTATATGTGCGGGCTTTAGCCGCATTGACCCTCAGCTCGCTTGNTGTTTTTTCGAGTCTTCTGGCCAATCAGAATCAAGATTGTTGCCGGAAGTCCCCACGGAGAATAACTTTGCGGTAGAACTCTTCTTTATAAATCCATGGGTACAACTTCAGATAAAAATGAACACATAATGAAATATGACCCTCGGTTTGATGATTGACAGGTCACAGAACAATGGGAGCTATCTACCCTTACCCACAATTTAAAGTAAGTCACACAGACTATCTCCTCTTTACTCTTCTCGCAGCAAGATGTCAGAACAAAGTGAAAAACAAACAATGGCATAAAATATTATTAATATATCGGTTAGTAATAGATTTCTTTATTTTCTTCTCAGAGTGTACCAGAATGCATAATTTATGTTAGTATTTCTAAAAATCTGAATTCTGTGAAGGGATATAAGGGATATACAGTATGCACTGTACTTCACTTTGATTAATATTGTATGCTGAAAAGCGTATATTACAGCACAATTTTTTGTTGAATAGATTTGAGTGCTTCAAAATGTTGGGTCGTGATGTATTGACCAAGTAAAAAGTGGGTCCTGAGGCCTGACCAGTTGAGAACCACTGCTACAGAGTATGAGAACAATAAAGACCTTTTTAGAACATTAAAGCATGTTAACATGTCACAGTAGAGGGACAACATATAAATATGAACCTGAAAATGAGCAAGAAGGGGCCCTTTTAAAAAATACAGTATCAGTTATGTTCTGTAGCTACGTGCCCACCGTGAAAAATAACCAAAGGTATTTAAATTATCACTTAAATGTATCCTTGATAAAACCATGCCTTAATTAAAGCCACATCCAGAAATACATATTCACAAGTATCACTAATTACTATCATGGGTCTAATCATTCTCATATTACTCTGCTGCACTCCCCACCCCTCAATGCTCATATCCAGCCTTGCATAATATCATCAACACCAGAAAAAAGACTTCAAAATTCCCTCTGATGTAGCAAAACTCCTCCTCGGGCCTGAAATAACAGCAGAGTGAGACGTTACCTGACTAAAAATAAAATGGTTACTGTATGTCTGAAAGCGTGTGTGTGTGTGTGTGTGTGTGTGTGTGTGTGTGTGTGTGTGTGTGTGTGTGTGTGTGTGTGTGTGTGTGTGTGTGTGTGTGTTTGCCGAGGGCTCAGCTAAATGAGACTCCAGAGGTTTTCGCTCTATAGCCTGAAGCTTCCTGCTCACACTCTCTGCATTTAAATGTTTCTGCAGCTCAGCGTGGAGGGATTTCTACTGCTGAAACACTGCGTCGTGATGACGAAGATGATGAAGATGACCGGGATGAAAAAGAGGAGCAGGATTATGATGATGATGACCACGATGACCATGACAATACTGATGAGATCGGAGGATGTGAATAAGCAGGAGAATGATGCTGATGAGGATGAGGAGGACCAGATTGAGGATGATGATGATGAGGAGTAGGTGGATGATGTTGATTGGCAGGCAGATAAAGCTGGTGAAGATGAAACTCTATAATAAGAGATTAAGCAGGAGGAGCATGATGGGATTATGATTATTATGATGAGGAGAGGATGAGAGGGTTGATGATGATGATGAAGATGATGGTAATGATGATGATGATATAAGTATGATGGCAACGATTCTGATATAAAATTAGCAGGTTAATAGAAATAATGACGAAGAAATGAAGGACAAGAAGGAGTATGATAGTGGTGATGATGATGATGATGATGATGATGATGATGATGATGATTACGATGTTAAGGAGTGATGAAGATGATGTTCATTATAAGCAGGATCATGAAAATCAGATGAATATGTTTGCAATATTTAGGATGATGATGAATATAAAAACAAAGATGGGGATGATGATGATGATGATGAGGATGATGATGATGATGATGACGATAACGATGACGATGTTAATGATGATGATGATAATGAAGAGGGTGAGGACGATGACGAAGAGGGTGAGAAAGAGAGTGATGATGAGGATGATGATGAAGATGATGATGATAAAGAGGGCAAGGATGATGACCTTGATGATGATGATGATGAGAGTTAGGAGACAAAAGCATCAACCGTAAGCTGGGAGGAAGTTCTGTGTTCTTCCAGGAGTTATTAAAGAATCATTGAGTGTATATCAACATCGTTCGCCAATGTTCTTTTTCAGCCTGAGGAGAGTGCAGTGATAGTGATTCCACAAAAAAATAAGAAAATAAGAATCTTCAAGGGTATAAATAAAAAAGAGTGTTTCTCTAAACCCTGGAATTAAATTCAGTAATTCTTCTTTTAAAATGGTCAAGGAAGACTCCTCACCAGGCTCATAAGATGACCCTAACTTTAGAGATCTTTGACTGATCAATTAAACATAAAGGCCCTTCACAATCAGGGCAGCCTGATCTTGTTATGTACAGTATGGAGAGGTGCAGGAATGAGTCATAAAACCCAGAAATAAGTTAGCAATTTAGCATTTGGTTTGCAAATCTCACAGTCAACAAATCTTTGAATGTGTTTTGGTAAGACGTCTGAATAAGGTCTTGGATTGTTTGATTTAAATGTATATGTTTACAAATAGAGTGGTGCAGGAAGCAGTCCTAAAACATGAAGTCGGTAAGGATTTGACCACTTCCAGTTTTCTCGTTTCAAAGACATGTTTATTTTTTAGATAACTGAACTAAGATCAATACGAACACGTCAGTAAATACCCCACTTGTGAATGTGCAATGAGCAATAAGGTTGCTAACGAGTGACTAAATTAGACTAAATAACATCATCACGCCGAACATTAGCTGAATAGCTTAGCGGTAGTGATGCGCATACATGCTATCTTAATGTTTTTAGCTTATAGCCTAACGTTAGCTTTTTACTTCTGGCGATTGCATGCATGCTTGAAATATCATAATGGTCTTTATTTTAATATGTGGAGATTATCCTGCAACAAAAACAAACCAAAAAATATATTATAAACGTGTGCTTGCCACAGATATTATTTTCTGCACTGTTATGAAATCCAATGGAAAAATCTCATTGCTTTTCTCATGGAACCTTTGTAATGCTCACTTCCTGGTCGGCCTTTACAAAACACGTCCTCACTGTGCAACTGTCTCTATATATAGGCCAGGGGAGTTAAAGTCCTTACTGATGCAGGCTCCGTGATAGCCGTAGTGTCCCTGAGGACAGTGGGAGACGCAGTGATCGCCAAGCAGCCAAGTCCTCGCCACTTCACACCAGAGACACACACTGCCGATGCCCGTCTGGAGGTCTGCCGTGCAGCGCTGACAGTCTGAGCTGCACTCTGGAAGGACACACACAGGAAGGAAGAACGCTTTGAATTCTTACACCATTCATCAGCATACTGCGCACAGATAAATATAAAGCCACCATAAAAATCACACGACTGCTTGGAAAAGTGCTTTGTGTTTATTCGCAGCTTTTTTAATTAAAAGGAAATACATAATGTTGTTACCTGACATGCTAACAAACATATTTTTTTAATTGTTAGTATCGTAAGAATAAAAGTCTTGATTTAAAGAGCACATATTAAATATTGGAATTTATTTTAAACAGGGTTACAACGTGAGGTTGAGTATAACATGTAAGGACAGAAGGCACTTTCCAAGTTTTGCATTAATAGTCCGCTTCTCTGGTGCGCACCAGAAGACAGTTTGTTACATTTTTTCATTTTTCAGAAGGTTTGGTTTGCGTTCACACCTAGGGTTCACACTGGAAAAACTCAAATGGACTATAAACTTTAAACACAAGTCATGTGAACAGAAATGCTGTTCAACAATTGGTCAGACATTAAGGGGGTAAAAAAGCAAATCCCGGCAATTTCTACCGTAGCCTCCGCCATGGAGCATCAGCACTTTCGGCAGGTTATTCTCATGCTGCTGTTAATCTGGAGAGCATATCAACAGACTCTAGCGGCCCGCATAGGATTATATCAGACGACATGTGTAAAAAAAACATTATAACACATATAATGAGACGTTCTGCAGTGAGGACGAGGATTCACCAACGACAGGTGGCTCTGACTTTTATGTATAGATGACAGAGCATTTTTACTTTAGACGAAACTGTTCAACACTTTTGAAGACATCCACGTTCTTGTGACGCGTAAATACTACGCTTCCTTTGTTTTGGTGAGGACCGTTGACACTGCGTTGAGTTCACTAGCAAGCGGTCCGAGACCACCTCTTTTAGGCAGACCAGAGTCCAGTTGTTTAGTTCACATCAGAGGTCTCGGACTGCGTTCACAACGACCCAAACGACCGCACCAAGCGGTTAAACGCACCAGGGATCGATTCAACCGGACTAAACAAGGTCTCCCCATCTATTACTTCAAATCTTCCTCTTTATTTTGGATAATACACACCATCCACCTACTGTATGCCCACAGACCCGTATCTACCCACAGTGCAGCAGGGTTTCCAGAGATTAGCAGATTAAAGAGGAACACCTTGTGGTGATTTATCTGATGGTGTCTGGGTTTGGTCTGGCTGGCGCAGTGGCGGGAACCTTAAAGTTATCTGTCCATGCCGAGATAACTATCTACAGTGAAAAGCAGAATGACGGGGGCTGTGCAGGTGAAGAGTAGTGTGGCAGCCAGGTTAGGGCGGAAGATAAGGAGGCTGATCCCCTACGGGTGTTAGAAAGTAAATAAATGATAGGACAATGAAGGCACTTTTCTTTCTCTGAGAAGGATTATCCTAAAAGTTTGGAGTGGTTAAAAGGGGAAAGTATTAAAGAGGCCCTCACGCTTTTATTTGCTAGCGCTCCAAGACATTGTTCGTGATAGGTTGAGAGGCGGGACATCTCTTAATGGTTGACCAATCACAACCAATACTAACCAATCAGAGCAGTCTGGGCTCTGGTTTCAGACACAACATTTGCATATGAACCTGAACATTTGCATAACAGGGTCACTTTAAACATAACACGGTCTGGATTTAGTCAGTAAATGCGACATGGGATTTAAAAGTGTTTTGATTTCCAATGGTTTTGTCAGTTGATTTACCCTTTCAAAATAATAGGAAACTAGGATCTTTCAAAATTGTTTAAAAGTGGTTTTAAGTACAAATGAAAAACCTTTTTTTTGTCAAATGCATTTAAAGGCAACAATAATGAAATCGAAGGAAAGTCAATTTAAACAATGCCATATAAGCAAACTAAATCTTAGACGAAATACACCTCTCCTGCTACCTTTTCTATTCGTAGCCATAAGCTTAAGGGGTTACATCACGCTTTACAAACTCTTATATGTTGTACCTAACTCACTGTTTCCATGGTTTTGTTATTTATGCACTGTACTTTCATAAGACAAGTCCTTTTTTCCATTTTCCATTATATATATGCAGCAGCTTTAGAATTGTTATGAAGAAAAAGCTGACACCAGCAGTAAACCTGCATACATCAGCAGTCTTAAGTCTTAAATACCAAAGATCTGAATCTGAAAGACGATTCATATATTTCAACTTACTGTGTAACTTTACATGTTACCTGAAGGTTGACTTTTAGGCTCTACTACACATTTATTTTAGGTTTTATTTGTGAAAAAAACTTGTGGCTATGTTTAGGATCAGTTATTTCCGGCAGTGGCATTTTTCACTTAGAAAACCCATTAGTTAAGTCTTTGAAGTCAACACTCCTTGTATAATAGCAGACATTTCCTTCAAGACATTTAATTGAATGAATCTTATGTGAGAGCAGGGTCAATAATGAATGAACCAGATCGAACAGTGTTTTAATTAAATGGAAAATGTTTTGATCTCGTGTGTGCGTTGTGTGTATTTCTGAGTGGCTGACATTTAACTCAGACAGAGATTATTTATGCCTCCACAGCAGCTGTCTCTGACAAACGCATGTAGAGCTTCTAACTGCCGTCTCCTTAGTGTGGCATATGCTCAGGTGAGTCACATGCTCCGTCTGAAGCAGCTCCAATATCAACAGAGCAAAAGAAGTAGAAGAAAAAAATAAACTTCCTCTCTTGTCATCTCCCATCCACGCCTTTCACATCACTTTACAACAAAACACGTATCAGCATTCCTCCTGCCAACACTCCTCAGGCAATCCGGCTCCGGGCGCTAAACAAATGGCTCCAAGGAGGAGATAAGATAACTCAGGCGTCAGGGATTATTGACTTTGCAGACTAAAACTGAATATAAAACTGAAATGCTATCGATTTGGGTCCACTGAGCCCCTCTTTATGGCGTAGTTACCATTTTTGAAGCGCATAAAAAGGTATGCTGGAGTTATAAATGCACTGCACGCAGACTGGATAATCATATTCTCCTGTGGGCTGGATTTATACCAGACATTATCCTGTATCATGCCAGCCCCCCTTGCATCTCTTGAAATATATAGAGCAGATACTTCTTTAACAAGTCATACAGAAAACAAATGTCTCTCACTTGTTCCCTGTGCCATTTGAAAAGAGAATAGCACTTGGATGAAGTGAGTGCAGCAGGAGTTCAGAAAGCAAGAGGAACAAAAGTGGGACATCATCATTATTTGAAGCTACAGGCGTAAGATGAGACGAGAGGGGTTGTGTGGTCCTCTGACTTCACCCTGTCTAGACATGTTGCCCCAACAAAGAGCGGATTTACAGAAGCAGCTTTTAAAGAAGTCTTACTTCAGGCTCAGTCCTGAGGCCATGCTGGCTCTGTCGCCCAAAACAAAAAAAGAAACCAGTGCCCTAGTATCAGATGGCAGAATTGTCACGATTCTTGTGTTATGTCACGTTTTTAGTTTTGTATGTCTTGTATTGGGTTTATTTTGCTGTTCGGTTTTCCACGTCATGTTTTCCTCCTTGTGTAGTCTGGTCCCTCTCCCTGTGTTTTTCCTCCCTGTCGTTAGTTTCCCTGGTGTGTCTAATTGTCTGAGTGTGTTCACCTGTTGCCCTTGTGTTTCTGCTCCCCTGCCCGGCTGTTTCTCGTCTCGTGATTACCCCTCCCTGTATTTAGTCTTGTCTCTTCCTGTGTTCAGTGTTGGTTCGTCTTTTGTTGGTGACTGAGTTCACCAGCAGCCATGGTTCCAGACACAGTTCTGGCCCCAGCAGCCATGGTCCCGGCCCCAGTTCTGGCCCCAGTGGCCATGGTCCCTCCTCTAGTCCCTACTCAATTCCCCACTCAAGTCCCTTCTCCAGTCCCTCCTCTAGTCACTTCCCAAGTCCCTCCTCTAGTCCCTCCTCTAGTCCAAACTCTAGTCCAAACTCTAGTCCCTTTTCTAGTCCCTCCTCTAGTCACTTCTCTAATCTCTTCTCTAGTCCCTTCTCTAGTCCCTTCTCTAGTCCCTTCTCGAGTCCCCTCTCAAGTGCCAACTCAAGTCACTACTCAAGTCACTACTCAAGTCCCAACTCAAGTCCCTACTCTAATCCCGTCTCAAGTCCCTTCTCGAGTCCCCTCTCCAGTTTCCTCTCTAGTCCCCTCTCCAGTTTCCTCTCAAGTCACCTCTCGGGTCCCCTTTCTAGTCACCTCTCGAGTTCCCTCTCGAGTTCTCTCTCGGGTTCCCTCTTGGGCCCTCTCTCGGGTCCCCTCTCAAGTCCCCTCTTGAGTCCCCTCTCGAGTTCCCTCTCAAGTCCCTACTCAAGTCCCTACTGAAGTGCCGTTGGAGGTTCCGCTGGGAGTCCTGCCAACTCCATGTCCTGTCCCGTTGGGGGTCCCGCCGATTACTCTTCTGCCGGGGGTCCTGCCAACCCTATGTCCTGTCCCGTTGGAGGTCCCGCCGACTACTCTTCTGCCGGGGGTTCTGCCAACCCTATGTCCTGTTCTGTTGGAGGTCCCGCTGAGAGTCCTGCTAATCCCAGGTCTTGTTCCGTTGGAGGTCCCGCCGCCACCCGTCTTGCCGGGGGTCCTGCCAACTCCTGGTCCTCTTCCGTGGGGGATCCTGCCGAAGCCTGTCCCACCGACCCCCTGAGAGCTGCGGTCTTCGCCCTCGAGCCCGGCCCATTGAGAGCCCGGCCCATTGAGAGCCGCGGTCTTCGCCCTCGAGCCCGGCCCCCTGAGAGCCGCGGTCTTCGCCCTCGAGCCCGGCCCCCAGAGTGCCGCGGCCTTCGCCCTCATGCTCGGCCCCATGATAGCCGCGGTCTTTGCCCTCGAGCCCGGCCCCCTGACTTTCCCGGCCGCGGTCCTCGCCCTCGGGCCCGGCCCCCTGACTCTTCCTGCTGCTGCCTTCGCCCTCATGCTCGGCCCCCTGAGTTCGTCCGCTGTGGCCTTCGCCCCTCCATGGACTCTGCCTTGCCCCCGGGCCGTCCGCCCGAGACCCCCTCCATGGTCTCTGCCTTGCCCCCGGGCCGTCCGCCCGAGATCCCTTCCGGGTCCTCCGCTGTCCCCCTGGGTTATCAGCTCAATCCCGTCCTCCTGACCTCCTCCACCCACCCTGGTGGGCCTAGTGATTTTTTTTTAAAGGGGCCCTATTCTGCTCATTTAAGGTTAATATTTTATATTTTCTGCTTACTGTGACAGTTTTACATGCTTTAATGTTCAAAAAGTGAGAAACTCCCTCGGAATGGAACTTTGGGATTTTAGCCTATGCAACCATTTACATGCACACAAACACTAATACACTTTCGATCACCCAAAAAAAGTCTACAGTAATGTAGAAGATACCAATAGCCTTTTTAAAGAGAGGTTTTAGTCAGAAAGGTATACTCATTAAATAAGGTACAAAATTACCAATCTTTGTGGACTAATGTTTTTTTTTTACCTTTAAAGTTGTTAAAAAGCTGCAATGATTTAATATCGTTCACACCATGTGAGGAACATCAAAAGCTACGCTTCAGTGTTTTGAGACAGTGGGCAGGGCATACTTTTCTATAGAGCTTATTTGAGCTGTTATTCCCAAGGGAATAAGAAGGGAGCTTGAAAGATTGAACCCTTTTCAAAGACGATAAATATCTTTCCATACAAAAAGCACATTCTGCTCTCACCTTCTGTACATTTAGTAAGTTAACTCTTCTCTACAGCCAGCAGAGGTTAAAAGGGAACATCCATATTCATGTTTTCTTATTGAACTAATGTTCTTCTATTCTATCATTGTGATGTTCGAAGTCATCGAATATGCATTTATCAGATAAAAGATAAATGCATAGGATCTTTCACAATGTTAACCACTGTCAATAATTATATACGCTTCTGTGGGCTCAGGGTCACACCTTTTACTCCTTTCTTATGTGTTTCCGTCGATGGATTTCATGGTGTGCCTTGTTTCTATGGTGATCCATCATTTCTATGGTGACACATAGCTATTATCCAACTAGCCGGTCTACTAAGCTTCATATGTTAAATTAAGGCTCCAACACAATTATGACGCAAAAATAAA